CATTGTCTGTGGCTGGAAGGGATACTATTTCCTGTCAATAGTAGAGTGTTCATGGCAGTGTTCCTGTGTGCCGTGAATATCGCAATGACGACTTCGCGAACTGTTGCAGCAATCGGCTGAGACAGCATCATGTATCCTACTTCTAGGAAACTGCTGACAACATCCTTATGAGTTGTCTATTCATGTGTTTCATGTTGCACCATCTGTGAGTAATGTCACAAGCATACAGAATAGCCGAGTGTGATGTCACAAGCTTACAGAATAGCCGAGTGTGATGTCACAAGCATACAGAAAAGCCGAGTGTGATGTCACAAGCATACAGAAAAGCCGAGTGTGATGTCACAAGCTTACAGAATAGCCGATTGTGATGTCACAAGCATACAGAATAGCCGAGTGTGATGTCACAAGCATACAGAAAAGCCGAGTGTGATGTCACAAGCATACAGTATAGCCGAGTGTGATGTCACAAGCATACAGAATTGCCGAGTGTGATGTCACAAGCATACAGTATAGCCGAGTGTGATGTCAAAAGCATACAGAATAGCCGAGTGTGATGTCACAAGCATACAGTATAGCCAAGTGTGATGTCACATACTCAGCAATATTCCAGCTATATGACGGCGGTCTGTCAATAATCGAGTCTGGACCAGACAATCCAGTGAGTGACATGATCACATCCACGCAATAGGGATACGATGACATGCATCAACCGAGTCAGCGAGCCTGACCACCCGATCCCGTTAGTTGCCTCATACGACAAGCATAGTCGCCTACAGCAAGCATGACTTGTGTTGCCGAGGACTTATTCCTACTCGGATCTTCACGGGTTTACAAGCATACAGTACAGCAGAGTGTTCATGGTACCACGCTAGAGGTTCCAGGCGGACAGACACGGTGTACTTAATAAGGCCTACAGACAGGTATTTGATTAGAAGCCACTTAAACAGCAGGTGGTGATATCTCTAGTAACATAACGGTACCCAGTTCCATTTCGAACATTCTTCCATAACCACATTAGCACGGCAACTATTTAGTAGGTTTACCTTCAAGAAATGATACTTTTCATTTTAATGAAAGCTTGCCATGTGACGTCAGTGTTGTCATGGCAATGAACATTTGCTGATTGCTGTAATATAGCACGCGGGTTTGACCGATTAATGATTTGCAAAAAGCCATTACACAAGTCCTCAACAGGAGAACGATCCTATCTCAGAACCCAAATTGCTTCTGGCTAAATGGCCATGACCTAAATTAAAAAAAAGTAATATGATAATAAATCACATTCAATATCCACATATAAGGCTGTTCTTAAACATGAATATTCTCTTCAAATACGTAATTAGCATATCGAGGTTTTTTACATTTCTAGGCAGGATTCTGGAGTGAGGTGGATACGCGATGATGAATATCCTACATTAAGACTGAAGTACGTATCTGGCATGTGAACACTGCAGCCCATGTCATACCTCATACACAGCTTCCACAAGTCAACCATAAATCACACAGAGGAACACGTGCCGCTAATGAAACGCTTCCTCGGCGAGATGCGCGAAAACAAGGACATTGATATGGTTGCTGAATTCGACTTGGGCTGATCGTGATTATCCAGTGTCCATTTTATTAAGGACATGCTATACAATAGGACCAATGTGTCAAGAAGTATTTGTAGTCCGGCTGGTACCCCCCACCCTGCAACACTACACAACTGGGGGCTGTCAGGGGGCTGTCAGGGGGCTGTCTGGGGGCTGTAACTGAGGGTTGTCTGGGAGCTGTAACTGGTGGCTGTCTGGGGCTGTAACTGAGGGTTGTCTGGGAGCTGTAACTGGTGGCTGTCTGGGGCTGTAACAGACGGCTGTCTGGGGCTGTAACAGACGGCTGTCTGGGGCTGTAACTGATGGCTGTCTAGGGCTGTAACTGACGGCTGTCTGGGGTTGTAACTGAGGGTTGTCTGGGGGCTGTATCTGGTGACTGTAACAGACGGCTGTCTGGGGCTGTAACAGACGGCTGTCTGGGGGCTGTAACTGAGGGTTGTCATGGGGTTGTAACTGAGGGTTGTCTCGGAGCTGTAACGGGTGACTGTAACTGACGGCTGTCTGGGGGCTGTAACTGAGGGCTGTCTCGGAGCTGTAACGGGTGACTGTAACTGACGGCTGTCTGGGGGCTGTAACTGAGGGCTGTCTCGGAGCTGTAACGGGTGACTGTAACTGACGGCTGTCTGGGGGCTGTAACTGACGGCTGTCTGGGGGCTGTAACTGAGGGTTGTCATGGGGTTGTAACTGAGGGTTGTCTCGGAGATGTAACGGGTGACTGTAACTGACGGCTGTCTGGGGCTGTAACTGAGGGCTGTCTCGGAGCTGTAACTGAGGGCTGTCTGGAGACTGTAACTGAGGGCTGTCTGGGGTTGTACCTGAGGGCTGTCTCGGAGCTGTAACGGGTGACTGTAACTGACGGCTGTCTGGGGGCTGTAACTGAGGGCTGTCTCGGAGCTGTAACGGATGACTGTAACTGACGGCTGTCTGGGGGCTGTAACTGAGGGTTGTCATGGGGTTGTAACTGACGGCTGTCTGGGGCTGTAACTGACGGCTGTCTGGGGGCTGTAACTGACGGCTGTCTGGGGGCTGTAACTGACGGCTGTCCTGGGTTGTAAATGACACCGTCTGGGGGCTGTAACATTGCTGTCTGGGGTTGTATCAGACGGCTGTCTGGGGGCTGTAACAGTGACATCAGTGATCTTGCCGCGGTTGGTGGGAGGATAGGTATGGTCTCGGGGACGTCAGTGTCGTACCAGGGAACCCCGATTGAAAGTATACTGTATATTTCCCAAGCTAGACACCTGCATTTAATCAATTCCTTGTCCCTCCCTGACAATAAATTTGTCGAATCCGCATTCTTCAAAGGATCGGCGCTTAAGTTAACATCGTCTGTCAACACCATCATTGTACTAACACACGGGAACAAATTACTGACTGCAAATATATTCCGATTTCTCCTCTCCACTTAAAACCTATTCAAATAACAATACCCTTTGTATGAAGATCAAGACTTTCGCGGACAGAGATTATTCAACTTTGATGTGTTTGGTATGAGAGAAATTCGACGGTCTACTCTACTATGGTCGAGCAACAATTTTCACTTCCCAATAAATCACAAGGCAGTTGATCACACAAGGGGGTGGGGGTGGGGGTGGGGGTGGGGGTGGGGACGGTGGTGGGGGTGGGGGAGGTGTTGCTTAATGGAAAACCGAGTCGAGCTGTCAAGAAAAGCAGCAACAGGTTTCGAGAGATATTTCCCGCTTTGCTAGTCTTCAGCTTCATTACCCTCCGACGTATTGCCGATCAGACGGCGGGTCTAGCACCGCGGCGGAGGGATATTTGCCAGTGGCAAAACAACCCCCAATTGGAAGTTTGCTTATTTACTTTCCACGTAATAAATCTGTATATATTGCGAAACTATCACAACCGTAGCACACAACACTCAAAGTTTAGGGGTAAACAGTGATGAGGAAAACACATTTAAAAACTGTCGCCGCTACCTCTCGCCCGACATCTTAGATTTCAGTCCATGGACCTCTCCACGGGCTGGCAAAGAAATCTGAATTTCCCCACGGGGCAAAATGCCGCTCTGTTTTCCACATAAAACAGCGAGAAATGCGATTGCTATCATTTCCACAAGTAATTCTGTTCCTCCTTCTTCTGCGTCTTGATTTACTTTTTATGGGGTCGTAGATAATATATACTTAAAGAAGGACGTTTCGTTTCAGCATTCCAACTTTTCAATGGGCTTTGGCTCATCTAGTCTCAATTTCGGCACTTACTACACATTTATAGCCTTTCACTGCTCCAATTTACAGATCTACACATGACAACGATTTGTTTCCAAATGGGATAAGTATTCGTAAATTCGCCATGGCTATAGGGAAGGCTCCCCCGGCGGGATCAGGAGGCGCACTACAACACGTGTTCCTCGAATGTCAGAGATGCAGAAAAACAAAGAAAAAAGTAGGTTCCAATAATGTCCTGGCACCGCCGGTGTAGTGCCGTTCTGCCTCCCCCCGTGGTTACGGCTTCAAACAAGGTGAACTCCGGTTCAGCAGCCCATAGAAGTAAAGTTCTTAATGAGATAACTCAAAGTTTAATTTTCCAGAAAGTGATTTTCAAATTACATGTAAGTCAATTTACTTCAATTACATTTAAAATCACTTGAGAGCCAGCGTGAGTGCCTGGGTGCTGCTATAAGATGTGGAAACCATTCCGGCTGACTCAGCCCCGGGGTATTTGGCCGCCGCCGCCGCGCATAGATCCTCGTGTGATTCTTACTTTATGTTTTAGAATCTCACGTATATGTTGAAATAATTAAATGAGAACACTGTTGCGCCCTGTGAGCTCCATTGCCGTTCTTGTCAAACCACGTGCATATGACGTGGAGGAAGTACAGAAATACCCTACATCTCAACCCTTTATGATGACCTTCGACAAATATATCTATTCTCCTGCCGTATTGCTAATCACCCGACAACGTACAGACAGATAATCTGTAACTCCACAAATAACAGTGTTGCTAATTACCCGACTACGTACAGACAGATAATCTGTAACTCTAAAAACAACAATGTTGCTTATTACCCGACAACGTACAGACAGATAATCTGTAACTCTAAAAACAACAATGTTGCTAATTACCCGACAACGTACAGACAGATAATCTGTAACTCTAAAAACAACAATGTTGCTCATTACCCGACAATGTACAGACAGGTAATCTGTAACTCTAAAACAACAATGTTGCTAATTACCCGACTACGTACAGACAGATAATCTGTAACTCCACAAATAACAGTGTTTTGCTTATTACTCAACTACGTACAGACAGATAATCTGTAACTCGACAAATAACAATGTAGCTAATTACTCAACAACGAACAGACAGATAATAATCTTTAACTCGAAAAACAACAATGTTGCTAATTACTCAACTACGAACAGACAAGTAATTATCCTTACCTTTCTCCCCGCCTCATTATTATGCAAATTCATTATCATCCGGGCTAGGTCCCTAGAATGCCGAGGATGATTCTTCTCCTTCTCGCGCACATCAACGAAGGCTTTAGCGAATCTATAGCCATATTCTATATTGTCTCCACAGCCACCCCAAATCCAATCTCGATTCAAGTCTTTTGGCCTCCTGGCCCGGCTACAACCACAACTTGCCAGTTCCCCCTCCCTGCACGACCTGCTGACAGCGTGGACGACACCGGCAGCGGATATTGCGTGCGTAAATGCCGCTTCTCTGCTGGCTGAAACAATATATCACACTAAATAGTCATCGAATGAATATTGTACATATTACACCAAATAATCATCTGATTAATATTTTACATATCACACCAAATAATCATCTGATGAATATTATACATATCACACAAAATAGTAATCTGATGAATATTATACATATCACACAAAATAGTCATCTGATAAATAATATACATAACACAATTAATAATCATCTGGTCAGTAACCACGTGGTATAACCTTGAGAACAGCCGCATTGTTACAAAGCATTAAATATGGCGACTTAATTATTCGGTCCCTGCATAACTTATATGGGCACTATTTTCTAACATAGGTACTATTGTCTAAGATCGACATTATGGCCTAATATGGGCACCCTACTCTAATATCGGTATGAGCTACTAGTAACGTGATGGAAGGAAGATAACCTGAGGCAGGACTAGCCTTGCTCCAAGGCTGTACTAAATGAAATGCCCTTGGATGTGTAGTAATTCTCTCCGCCTAATAGGCAAGTCTAGATGTGTGGACTCCAGTCTCTTATAGGGACATCTTGTTCTTATTGTTTACACAATTTAGAAATTATGACTTAAATTAATAATTATTGCCTTAGAGACTTGTGCAAGTTTGGCAGGACTGATTTGCAGTGATCTATTCATGCAATGTTCACTGCTTTTGTGCCTTTTGTCCTCAATGGAATCTGTTTGGGCGGATAATGAAAACTGGTCATTCGCTGATGTTGGTGTTTTATGTTTATATAGCTGAGAGATAGAACTTCTGATGTAGCCGTGTGACGACCACGTGTCATCGTCATCCTTGCGGCCACGTCACGGTTGGAAGAGGCCGCTTGTCACTTAATGACTGGCAACTCTTTGACCAGTGTGTCTGTGTGTCCTAGAAAAGTGTCAACTTGACCATCTGTTTAGTTGCTTCTCTTGTAAGTCCGCACACAGAATGATTTCATTTTGTTTGTTTGTTGTTTAACCCCGGATTCAGCATATCCCAGCTTTTTGACGGCGGTCTGTAAATAATCGAGTCTCAACCAGAGTATCCAGTGATTGACATCATGCGCATCGATCCCGTTAGTTGGGGGGTTGTGTGTGAGTGTTGTGCGTGCGTGCGTGCGGTACATGTACTAATTCGATACCATATCGCCGTTTAACACGCATACCCCACTCAAACACGGTATACTGAGGCCTTGTTTTATCTCCTTAATGCCGAACGCCAGGCAGTGTAACAAAAAGTACCATCTTAGGGTTTCAGCCATACTGAACAACTCAAAGATAGGTTTCAGCCATACTGAACAACTCAAAGATAGGTTTCAGCCATACTGAACAACTCAAAGATAGGGTTGAACTGTACTGTACAACTCAAAGATAGGGTTGAACTGTACTGTACAACTCAAAGATAGGTTTGAGCTGTACTGGACAACTCAAAGATAGGTTTGAGCTGTACTGGACAACTCAAAGATAGGTTTGAGCTGTACTGGACAACTCAAAGATAGGTTTGAGCTGTACTGTACAACTCAAAGATAGGTTTGAACTGTACTGGACAACTCAAAGATAGGTTTGAGCTGTACTGGACAACTCAAAGATAGGTTTGAGCTGTACTGTACAACTCAAAGATAGGGTTGAACTGTACTGTACAACTCAAAGATAGGGTTGAACTGTACTGTACAACTCAAAGATAGGTTTGAGCTGTACTGGACAACTCAAAGATAGGTTTGAGCTGTACTGGACAACTCAAAGATAGGTTTGAGCTGTACTGGACAACTCAAAGATAGGTTTGAGCTGTACTGTACAACTCAAAGATAGGTTTGAACTGTACTGGACAACTCAAAGATAGGTTTGAGCTGTACTGGACAACTCAAAGATAGGTTTGAGCTGTACTGAACAACTCAAAGATAGGTTTCAGCCATACTGAACAACTCAAAGATAGGGTTGAACTGTACTGTACAACTCAAAGATAGGGTTGAACTGTACTGTACAACTCAAAGATAGGTTTGAGCTGTACTGGACAACTCAAAGATAGGTTTGAGCTGTACTGGACAACTCAAAGATAGGTTTGAGCTGTACTGGACAACTCAAAGATAGGTTTGAGCTGTACTGTACAACTCAAAGATAGGTTTGAACTGTACTGGACAACTCAAAGATAGGTTTGAGCTGTACTGGACAACTCAAAGATAGGTTTGAGCTGTACTGAACAACTCAAAGATAGGTTTCAGCCATACTGAACAACTCAAAGATAGGGTTGAACTGTACTGTACAACTCAAAGATAGGGTTGAACTGTACTGTACAACTCAAAGATAGGGTTGAACTGTACTGTACAACTCAAAGATAGGTTTGAGCTGTACTGGACAACTCAAAGATAGGTTTGAGCTGTACTGGACAACTCAAAGATAGGTTTGAGCTGTACTGGACAACTCAAAGATAGGTTTGAGCTGTACTGTACAACTCAAAGATAGGTTTGAACTGTACTGGACAACTCAAAGATAGGTTTGAGCTGTACTGGACAACTCAAAGATAGGTTTGAGCTGTACTGAACAACTCAAAGATAGGTTTCAGCCATACTGAACAACTCAAAGATAGGGTTGAACTGTACTGTACAACTCAAAGATAGGGTTGAACTGTACTGTACAACTCAAAGATAGGTTTGAGCTGTACTGGACAACTCAAAGATAGGTTTGAGCTGTACTGGACAACTCAAAGATAGGTTTGAGCTGTACTGGACAACTCAAAGATAGGTTTGAGCTGTACTGTACAACTCAAAGATAGGTTTGAACTGTACTGGACAACTCAAAGATAGGTTTGAGCTGTACTGGACAACTCAAAGATAGGTTTGAGCTGTACTGTACAACTCAAAGATAGGGTTGAACTGTACTGTACAACTCAAAGATAGGGTTGAACTGTACTGTACAACTCAAAGATAGGTTTGAGCTGTACTGGACAACTCAAAGATAGGTTTGAGCTGTACTGGACAACTCAAAGATAGGTTTGAGCTGTACTGGACAACTCAAAGATAGGTTTGAGCTGTACTGTACAACTCAAAGATAGGTTTGAACTGTACTGGACAACTCAAAGATAGGTTTGAGCTGTACTGGACAACTCAAAGATAGGTTTGAGCTGTACTGTACAACTCAAAGATAGGTTTGAACTGTACTGGACAACTCAAAGATAGGTTTGAGCTGTACTGGACAACTCAAAGATAGGTTTGAGCTGTACTGGACAACTCAAAGATAGGTTTGAGCTGTACTGTACAACTCAAAGATAGGTTTGAACTGTACTGGACAACTCAAAGATAGGTTTGAGCTGTACTGGACAACTCAAAGATAGGTTTGAGCTGTACTGGACAACTCAAAGATAGGTTTGAGCTGTACTGGACAACTCAAAGATAGGTTTGAGCTGTACTGGACAACTCAAAGATAGGTTTGAGCTGTACTGTACAACTCAAAGATAGGTTTGAACTGTACTGGACAACTCAAAGATAGGTTTGAGCTGTACTGGACAACTCAAAGATAGGTTTGAGCTGTACTGTACAACTCAAAGATAGGTTTGAACTGTACTGGACAACTCAAAGATAGGTTTGAGCTGTACTGGACAACTCAAAGATAGGTTTGAGCTGTACTGGACAACTCAAAGATAGGTTTGAGCTGTACTGGACAACTCAAAAATAGGGTTGAACTGTACTGGACAACTCAAAGATAGGTTTGAGCTGTACTGGACAACTCAAAAATAGGGTTGAACTGTACTGGACAACTCAAAAATAGGGTTGAACTGTACTGAACAACTCAAAAATAGGGTTGAACTGTACGGAACAACTCAAAAATAGGTTTGAGCTACTGGACAACTGACGTTATTCCATGATGGATGTGTGTTTACCTGGTCTGAAGGTGGAGAAGAAACCTAACCCTGCCAAAGCAGGCAGACCTTCCACAAGCAGCCCGTCTTGCAGAGTAGCGCGATCATACGCTATCACAAAGTGATGATATATATCATTTTCCTTTCAGCAGGGCTTAGGTGTATCCTAAACCCATAATTATCCCGATGTACAATTGTAAAGTAGTTTAATATTGCGTTTCCTTTCACGGTTAAGCGTACAATTATATTAACAATGGCTTAAATGTGGCACGCAAGAGGAGTGCCAAATGAATGTTTTCGTCCTGTCTATCCGATGGTATATTCAGGCCGACTGGCTGCTCTGCGGGTCGTGAACATACCACTGCTTATATCCATTCAGCCGATATAATGCCTGTTATTAACGAGAGACTATATCCCATTGTCCACCAGATTGTAGATAATAGTAGATATCATTTTGCTACTTTTACATGGCATTTAAATCTACTCACCATAAACTTCATACACTTTGAAAGAATGCACATTTTAACTTACGCTCCACTTACGAAAGTAAGAGCAGTCTCGGATAAGTATGAACTGTGTGTGTCGGCTGTGTGTCGGCTATGTGTCGGTTGTGTGTCGTCTGTGAGTCGGTTGTGAGTCGGTTGTGTGTCGGCTGTGTGTCGGTTGTGTGTCGGCTGTGTGTCGGCTGTGTGGCTAAGGCCAGCATTTGTGCAATATCCGATTAAACCATGCATTAAAATGTGCAACATCACCTCCACAAACGTCTCACCATTTCTGCATAACTAGTCTGAGGCCTCCACAAACGTCTCACTACTTCTGCATAACTAGTCTCAGAAAGCAAACTGAGCATTAACTATTGTGAAACTTAATCCGCCTTAAGCTCACGCACGTATGGGGACATAAGCATTGCGGTCGCATACACTGCCGACAATATCAATAAATTTCTCCCCTCGACATCCATTCATTGAAACCCGTGCACTGACATTTTGCCAATAACACTATCAAATATTTCAATAACCACAGCGTCCTTGACCTTCAGGGGTCAAATCAGGGTCAGTATTCAATATTAAAGCAAATCCTAGCTTCTCATTCTGGTAGCACGCACTTAACGGAACGAAATATATTTCTCATGCAACGTTTGATTATACCA